TGACAACCTCGACAACCTCGACAATCTGGACAACCAACATCGCGTTCATGTTTGAAGTGGAAAGCCCGATCTTACAACGGCAACCTCTTCTTTGCTGCCGATATATCGATGACTGCTACATAGTATGCTCCACTCAGGCAGAGTTGAACACCTGTCTTGAGCTTCTCAACCAGCATTTTACTAAAGAGAAGCCCAGGGATAGGTGGCTACCATTGACAAGGGCAAATCTAGGTCCTCAGGATATAATATTGCCGCGCTAAGCCATTTCTTTAGACCGATCAAGGAAGATGACCTGGACATACAGAATGCGATTGTACGCTGATTGACCAGAGAGGACCACCAGTTCGCCATCGAACTAAAGCATCGGCAGATGTTAGTCGGGTAGCAGCACGGGCGCTTAGAACACAGTCGAAAACGTCACTGAGAGCAGTAACGGTGATTTTTTTTTTGGCATTTTCGACTTTTCTCGGACTAGGGGAAATAGCGCATCGGATTTTCGGATTTCAGGAGTCATATCAAGGAAAATCACTGTGGTGGCTAGTCATCAGGGCCCGTAGTAATCTACCCTACCAGGTGGCATCAAAGATGCCAGCAAGTTCGCGAACCTCGCGGCATGTTCGTGTTTCGGGCGCAAGCTAAATCTTGGCTTAGATTTTCGTTTCTCATTAGTTTTTCACTTTTTTGTACTTCTCGAGCTTACTCCACAGTCATATGCACATGATATTTTGATGACGCTGATAGCCGCAAAACGCATGCAGTGCGCACGTTCGAACCTGCATGCGTCAACCTAACGCCGCCGCACTAACCATTCGACCAAAACTCCAACCCGGGGATACTCGTTTAGTGTTTTTGTTGTCTGCGGCACCAATGATATAAACGCTGCCTAAGTGGCACCTGTATGAGAGCATGATCAATATAATGCGTGATAGACGCTGACCTGAAAAAAAAAACAGCTGATTGATAAGAGCGAGCGAGAGACGAAATCTTTGCAAATGACATTTGAAGCAATTGCAAAATGAAAATGACGTTCTTTATGGTTTCATGATATTACTAGGCTTTTTTGTGCATGCATATCGTCAATTTGGATGGGAAAAACCCATATAATGTCAAAAATGATAGTTTTTCGGTGAAAAGTAGATTTTTTTGATTCTTTTGCTGGACGTAATTTGTGTGATATTGCCGCGCGACGCAATTTCACAGACGCCGTCGGCAAAGGCGCCCGCATGTGGACGTGGTAGGGGCACGTCCACATGCCGGCAGGTCGCACTCCACAAATTACACACTATCTCCTGCACTCTCTGACCTGTCGGCAGGCTGCGAGCTAGATGGCATCTCAAATTTCGACAAAAATAGATCGTGACGATTCGGCCCAAATAAATGGCAAACGACGACATTTTTTTGATTTCCTTTCAATTCCCACACTATTTCGACAGCAAAATGGGACCGTAACACAAAAAAATAGATGATCAGCCTGGCTTGGGGTCACCGGAGGTAGTTTGAGATTTTGGGGACCTCAAGTCCACATCAGGGCGACCTCAGAACATGAGATGCCGGCAGGTAGGGTGGATTACTACGGACCCAGAATTTCAAAAACTGTCCAAAAGAAGGAACCACAGTGGCCTTCAAGCGGAATGGCATGGCTCACGAGTTATAGGACCATTACTGCGATGCTTACCCGCCTACCTTGTCAACCAATTACATTTTCAGCTGCAGAGGACTATCGTCAGTAACGAAGGACTACAGCCCGGCAAATTCAAAAAGCTTATGGAGACGCTGGGCTTGGGGTGAAGAAGCTTACCGCACACTCCTTTCGAGGCGGTGCGGTCAGCAAAGGTACAGATTCTCAAAAAGTTAATCTCGAGTCATTTGTAACTTGATATGTGAGATTGCACACTAAGCCCTATCGGCGACGGCACCTATACTAGTAACTTCCCAGTAAAACATTTTCTAGCCTAATAAAATGTAAGAATGTGTTTTACTGACTAACATATAAGCAACTAAAACAAAAGGAACAAGGAAACAAGGGGAAATCACTGGAAATGAGCAGACTTTAGTTTCGCAGTTCGTCAGTTAGCTGTATAGTGTGCACTACGCATATTAAGTTACAAATGACTAGACAATATGCTTGCAGGAAGAGGGAAGACATTTATGTCGTTTAAAACATACATTGGCCGCTTAAGGATTTTGAAAATTTCATGCCATCCTTTGATTCTATTTGTTTTTGTGCTTTGTTATCTTTTCGATTCATCACATTTGTTAGGTAGGACCTCATTTCACCTCCTGCTACCAAGAAGCTCAGCAATCTGGTTGGCGCAAAAGTCGCATTATGTTATATTGTCTATTGTTAGTCATTCGCTAGTTTTGCCTTGCGTGCGTATAGCCCTGTGAGTGTATTTTGGTATCAAGGAATCCCGTGCCCCTAAGTATATCGTATGTACGGCCTTTTGCTAGTTGTAACCATTTATGTCGTCATCGACATTCTTGCTCATGTTTTGCATAGCTAGATATACCTCCATTATGTAAAAGAAGATCTGAACTATTCCCATTGCAACATATGCGTTATCACGTATCCTATTACTATAGCTCGATTTCCCAACTATTCTGTACGATATACGAGAAGATAAACCTTCAACACATTCCGGTCACAATGTAAATAATTCAAAACGGTCAAATGCACTATATGCATGGATGCAAGGCCTAGTGTACGACACTAAATGTCCATCCCATCGAGATTATCAAGTGAAATATGAATTCTAGATCGTCTTCAACTGCGGACATATGTTCATGTTCGGATTGCACTCCATTGCTGATCTCTTGCCATATCTGCCGTCAACCAATTACCAAAAAACAGATGCTCTATGCGTAGATTAAGTTCTTTTCCCATTATCTTGTGCATGCAACAGTATTTCTGGTCTAAGCGTTTGATGAAAATTTGATGTATTTTTCATTCGTGTTGAGACTTGATGTTTTGCCATGTTATCGGTCAGAAGAGTGGAGCCTATTAGATTCGAACTTGGATTTGTCAAGACAAATTTTGGAAATAAACAGTCTAGGGGAAGCGAAAGCAGGATCAAAGGCACTGCTTGAAAGGGGCGATTGTAAGAAGACTTCTCAGACTGCGGAGGCAGAATTGTAAAGAGTCAGGTGAGAAGAAGTACAGCCTCGGCAAATGTAGTACGGGGAATGCGCGACCTGGCATGGTTGTCCCGTGCAGACCACCAGTAAGTGAAGTCAAAAGGCGGGTGCTAAAGTGAAGCTGGCACCGATTTGGATGCAGTTCGCTCCACCCAAACTCGAAATTGGATGCGGCTGCTCGGAAGGTCAATGTAAGATTCTTATTCTAGTGCGAACAATTCAGAGGAACTCGTTAAAGCGTCGGCGACTTCATATCATTTATAACTAGCTGGCTTCCCCGGTCTCGCCCTGGGCACGCCCTCAAAGGGAGAATGTTATCCCTCGGACGAGCTGAGTCTGAATCTGTGCTTTGCAGCTTTTGAAGATATCAAAAGCATGACTTCTCAGACTTGAAAAGTGCTGTTTGGGCGGGTCGCGAAAGTGACTGGTGGAGCCAGTAATCCAATTGCCGCCGAGATTAGTAGTGTGTTTCAACTCACGAGTCAATCGTGCTCTAAAAGGCAAGCTTATGCCGTCTACCTAATGGCACTTTTCATCTGGAAAAGCGGAAATACCTTTTGAAGCTGCAAAGCACAGTCTTGGACATTGCTCGTCCAGGGGATCCGAGTACGATGAATATCCCATAGTTGTCATTCTGCCAAGCCTTTGCCTTTGAGTCCGGCACGGGATCGTATGCGAAGAAGGAGAGGTGTCGTCTTTTCCAGAATCACACTTGGAAAATCCGGCTTTCTTGTATCTTCTGCTCAGAGCCCTCCCCTCCCCATTTGCTGTGCTGCACGGGTTCCTCTGCCTTCAACTCGACTCGCTTTGAAACATAACATCCTTCCCTCGGTGAAATTAAAATTAGCTTTACTGCTATTGTTCGCGCGAAATAGTGGAAATACTTTGTTAGCGGCTCATAATGATTCATTTTCAGTGAAGTAGAGAATTAATAAATTTGATAGAAGGTGCAGCAAATCGGTTGAACAAGTCCCCCGATGCAATGCGAAAGATAGCGCTTCGATCTTCTCTTACGGCTCCCTTCCCGGACTCCGCTTATAGTACGTTCCAACTCCGTGGAAATTGGACGGCGGGTGTTCGCTTCGCAACGATTCTCGCCGCTTTGCAGTCTGCGTCCCTTCATTCTAATCTATCTCGCTGAGCCAGTGGCGGCTACTCCACTTGGAACATTTCGCCTACTCCGTGTTGAAAAGACTGTACCTTGCGATTTCTCTTCTACCGTCGGAGCGCGCATACAGCAATGCTATAACCGTAAGGATCCAGCAAGGACTTTACGTCTTCGCCATGGCGGGCTTTGCATCCACTCGTCTATGTACGAAACTAATGATGGTTTAGGAGAATGCTCATTTTAGCTATTTTCGCTTTCCAAGGTGGGTACCCGAAATCAGCGCAGCGGATTACTCCAGGTAAGCGAGATGCCTTTGAGGGCTTACTTTAAGCGGCATGGAACAGGCGGTAAACTAAACATCACACATTTTGTTATAACATAACAGCGAGGTAAAGGCTAGTTTCAGACGAAGGCAGTCGATCATAAAGCGAGGCGGACGCGAGCGTGTAATAAATTTTTGTCACTTAACAAAAGAATGCTTTCTTTGCGAACTCTTTCTTGAAAGTTCAGCTTGAGCTGAGTGTTGCTCTTCGGTAATACACCTTCTAGCAAAAGGCGGTTGAAAGCTGTATCCTTTCTGCGATACGTTGCTAAAACCTCACAATCAATGGCAATGTAAAGTGGACATGCCGAGCTTCTTTTTGGCGGAACAACAAGCTCAGAATGTTCTTGAAATACATTTTGAAATGTCTTGAAACATTTATTGCAGAAGCTGATCGGGTTTTACAGCACGACGGAGGTCCTTCTGGGTCCACTCTCACACTGTAAATTCGTCTATCTGAAAGAGATCTGCAGGGGGGAATAGCCACCACTTGCCTGTGTAATACTCCACCTCGAATTCGGTTGATTTATAACGGCTGTAGGCTATGATGGGAATGATGCTGTTGGACGAAGAGATAACTAATCCTATACGTTTGGGGTCACAGATTCTGGAACATATGGATACATGTAGACAAGAATCTGCACTTGGCGCATGTTCGCAAACTTGTAGCCATTCCAGAGCTGATTTTCTAGTGATTTGATTTCAATTCCTCCGTAAGTGCAAGCATCATCAACACGCCCAACTGTGAGGCCTTTGATTGTTACTTTGACTGTCTTCTTTTCCGGATTCTTAATTACTCCAAATGAAAGAACGTTTTTGAGAGGCTTTGTTCGACTTAGCAAACCATGATCCAGTAGTAGCATTCCATGAATTTATTCTGAACTGTTGTGTAAGCGGATCCCAAGGCTGCTAGCTTGAATGTCTTCTTTTTGTTCAGAGCCGTTTCTGTTCTACCGCAAGATCTTGCTTGTGGCTGAAGGAGAGTTAGTAAGTTGTATTTACTTACTTAGCGCAGCAACTTACTCTCTCATTGCATGAAACACCATCGTATCCATGTGGACAGATGCACTTGGAGCAATCTGGATTTGGGTAGCCATCATTTTTGCATTTTGCATGGGAGACCGGACTACCAGACTTGCACTCTGTGTTATAATATACTCATTTTCGTTGAGTGCTTGCATCGGTTGTTGAGCGTAACCACAATGGAACAAAATTTGGTTACGGTACCGCATCGCAAGTATAGAAGAATAAATCAGTAATGTCGAGTGAGTGCGAGTTCTCGGGGATACTTTGTATCAATGGTGTCAGTTTGTAAATAGCGAAAACGACTTCAACTACATACGGATATATGCGTAATTAATTCTTCTCCATTATCCACGTATTTAGTATCTGATGCACGGATGTTCGCCTCAAATCCACAAAGTATGTTATCATTAGAGCCTGTAGTAAATACTTTTAAGTCGTGACGACTCGCACGGAGCGCAAATGCTCGACAATTGCTTGCTGCCGCCCCATGAAGAGGGATAGCCGACGTGACCGAGGCATATGCCCAGCGTAACGCCGCGGACATCTTCAGGTCCTCTTCAAAAAAGTGCGCTTAAGCGGTTTTTAGCTTCGATGGTTGTTTTGCAAAAAGTTTGGTCTAGTTGTTTCTTTGCATGTCTTAATTCTACAGCTTCTTGCAATTTATGTAGTCTTGACCGGACTTTTCTATATTTTGCTTTTCATCTGTGAACCAGATGCTCTTTCATATGAGTAAGGAAACGATTTGGGCCGTGGCTAATGAAGTAGCATAAACTAGTACAGATCGAATTAGCAGAAGTTTTGTAATTTTGAACATTTTCAATGTATCTCAAATATCTGTGTTGCGCGCCAATTTACGTCCAAAAGCTAAGTTCTTATAATCACTAAAAAACTTGGCATGCACATGCTCTTTTCATATCGCTTCGCAAAAGATTCGCAGTACCTGTGACTTGTGTTCCAGACGACCAGTCCAGTACCGCGCGACCAGGCACTGCGCTATCCGCAGTGGTATTTTCAGTTCCAAATATTAGAAGCCTAGTGTTTACAATTACAAAGTGGTAGCTGTATTTATACTCATAGGCGAGATTCAGCTTTAATGGGGCTGCTTACTAGTTTCAACATATTCGCTTGAGGGCCTATCTATCTACCTTATACACCTTTCTCTTGCTCAGACTTCTAACAGAAACATTGTCTATAGCGCAGCTCTGTGATCACCTTCGACGACAGGTGATCACAGAGCTTTTTGCGGCGGGCGGCCGACTCCCGTCGTGCCCAAGTTGTGACTCGTTTTGAGCGGTCATAACCGCGTCTTCTTTGAGTTGTGACGACTTTAGTGGATTTACTACTACTTCACCCTCAAGCTGTAAATTCGTCTATCTGAAAGAGATCTGCAGGGGGGAATAGCCACCACTTGCCTGTGTAATACTCCACCTCGAATTCGGTTGATCTATAACGGCTGTAGGCTATGATGGGAATGATGCTGTTGGACGAGGAGATAACTAATCCTATACGTTTGGGGTCACAGATTCTGGAACATATGGATACATGTAGACAAGAATCTGCACTTGGCGCATGTCCGCAAACTTGTAGCCATTCCAGAGCTGATTTTCTAGTGATTTGATTTCAATTCCTCCGTAAGTGCAAGCATCATCAACACGCCCAACTGCGAGGCCTTTGATTGTTACTTTGACTGTCTTCTTTTCCGGATTCTTAATTACTCCAAATGAAAGAAAATTTTCGAGAGGCTTTGTTCAACTTAGCAAACCATGATCCAGTAGTAGCATTCCATGAAGTCATTCTGAACTGTTGTGTAAGCGGATCCCAAGGCTGCTAGCTTGAATTCCTTCTTTTTGTTTAGAGCCGTTTCTGTTCTACCGCAAGATCTTGCTTGTGGCTGAAGGAGAGTTAGTAAGTTGTATTTACTTACTTAGCGCAGCAACTTACTCTCTCATTGCATGAAACACCATCGTATCCATGTGGACAGATGCACTTGGAGCAATCTGGATTTGGGTAGCCATCATTTTTGCATTTTGCATGGGAGACCGGACTACCAGACTTGCACTCTGTGTTATAATATACTCATTTTCGTTGAGTGCTTGCATCGGTTGTTGAGCGTAACCACAATGGAACAAAATTTGGTTACGGTGCCGCATTGCAAGTATAGAAGGATAGATCAGTAATGTCGAGTGAGTGCGAGTTCTCGGGGATACTTTGTATCAATGGTGTCAGTTTGTAAATAGCGAAAACGACTTCAACTACATACGGATATATGCGTAATTAATTCTTCTCCATTATCCACGTACTTAGTATCTGATGCACGGATGTTCGCCTCAAATCCACAAAGTATGTTATCATTAGAGCCTGTAGTAAACACTTTTGAGTCGTGACAACTCGCTCGGAGCCAGGGTCGGCACGGGTGGCTTGCGAGGCAAGCTGGATATCGTTTTGGAATAAAAGGCAGGGGAGATATCGTTCAGTGGAAACTCCAGTCCTCCCCCCCCCCCCTCCCTCCCTCACAATCACCTTCTCCCTCTTATGTCACCCTTCATCTTCTATAGAGGACGTAGATTGTCATTCCTGCCTTATCGATCCCAATTCTGCAAAAGGCAAAAATTCCCTGTTTCAACTGGTTCGTCGGTTAAGCGCGCGAAAAAAGCCTGCCCGAATAAACAAAAGCCTTGTTCACAGCTAAGAGAAGATGAAATGACAGCAAAATTTGTGTGTAGGTGGGCGATAGGGATTTAGGCGTATGTGCGCCCTCCACATATTTTGTATGACGGCGGCAAGCTTGCTCCAAGCGCACAATGGTGGGCCCCGGGCACAGCATGTCGCCAATTCGGAGAATACAAAGTTCTTTAGTTCTTTTTCTTCTGTTCAGTGTGTTTTTGAGTTTTGTTTCATTGTTCTTTGTTATTTCTTTTTGATCCATTCATGATCGCATCAGGTGATGTAGTATTTTTGCGGCGAAATCTACAAGGACTTCGTTTATAAAAAATTGAAAAAAGCCACCTCATGTCGAGCCCTGCTCGGAGCGCAGCAAATGCTTGGCAAATGCTTGCTACCGCCTCATGAAAAGAAATTGCCGAAGTGACCGAGGCGTATGGTCGGCGTACGCCGCGGGCATCTTCAGGTCCTCTTCAGCTAAACTTGTGCTCTTAATTTTTAGCTTCGATGGTTGTTTTGCAACCAGTTTGGTCTAGATGTTTTTATGCATGCCTTGATTCTACAACTTCTTGCAATTTATGCAGTTTTAACCAGAACTTTTGTGTTTTTGCTTTTCACTAGCTGTGAACCAGATGCTCTTTCATATGAGTAAGGAAACGATTTGGGCCGTGGCTAATGAAGTAGCATAAACTAGTACAGATCGAATTAGCAGAAGTCTTGTAATTTTGAACATTTTCAATGTATCTCAAATATCTGTGTTGCGCGCCAATTTACGTCCAAAAGCTAAGTTCTTATAATCACTAAAAAACTTGGCATGCACATGTTTTTTCATATCGCTTCGCAAAAGATTCGCAGTACCTGTGACTTGTGTTCCAGACGACCAGTCCAGTACCGCGCAACCAGGCACTGCGCTATCCGCAGTGGTATTTTCAGTTCCAAATATTAGAAGCCTAGTGTTTATAATTACAAAGTGATAGCTGTATTTATACTCATAGGCGAGAATCAGCTTTAATGAGGCTGCTTACTAGTTTCAACATATTCGCTTGAGGGCCTATCTATCTACCTTATACACTTTTCTCTTGCTCAGACTTCTAACAGAAACATTGTCTATAGCGCAGTGGCTGCGTGCGCCGCTTAATGCGGCAAATGCGAGTTCGACGACAGATAATCACAGAGCTTTTTGCGGCGGGCGGGCGACTCCCGTCGTGCCCAAGTTGTGATTCGTTTTGAGCGGTCATGACCGCGTCTTCTTTGAGTTGTGACGACTTTGGTGGATTTACTACTACTTCACCCTCACGCTGTAAATTCGTCTATTTGAAAGATATCTGCAGGGGGGAATAGCCACCACTTGCCTGTGTAATACTCCACCTCGAATTCGGTTGATCTATAACGGCTGTAGGCTATGATGGGAATGATGCTGCTGGTCGAGGAGATAACCTTTCCTTTATTTTCATTTGAGTCACAGAATCTGGAATATATGGATACGAGGAGACAAGGATCTGCACTTTGGCGCATGTCCGCAAACCTGTAGCCACTCATAAGCTGATTTTTTTGTGATTTGATTTCAATTCCTCCGTAATTGCAAGCAACATTAACGTACCCAACTTTGAGGCCTTTGATTGTTAATTTGACTGTCTTCTTTTCCGGATTCTTAATTCCTCCAAATAAAAGAAATTGAGAGATTTTGTTCGACTTAGCAAACCTTGATCCAGTAGAAGCATTCCATGAAGTCATCCTGAACTGTTGTGTAAGCGGATCCCAAAGCTGCTAGCTTGAATTCCTTCTTTTTGTTCAGAGCCGTTTCTGTTCTACCGCAAGAGCTTGCTTGCGGCTGAAGGAGAGTTAGCGAGTTGTATTTACTTACTTAGGCCCGTATGCACGTACATCCCCGCGGGGAGGGGAGGGGATCTGAGAGGGGAAGCGTCATATCTCGCTAGTTTATATATCTTTCTTCTTGTTTCTCTGTCTTGCTTTTGAAGGTTCTCATACACTGATACCTGCGCATAACGGATGCCAGGTTACTGCCATACAAGATTAGATAATCACTATTTCGTCTGATCCCCTGGGGATCCCCAGGGGATCACCGCACATTTTCAAAGTCATTTATCTTCCTTAAAATTCACTAAAAATGCTGTTAAATTGTACTGAGGATATACTACAGCAGTGCTAAACATGTTTATGGTAGAAATGAGTGAAATCTCAAGATATCAAAATTTTCGATGAACCGCTGCTCGCGAGCCAGGGATTATCGAAAAAACCAAAATCTTCATAATCCATCTCTTCTGTCGAAAACATGCTCAGCAGTATCGTAGTATATCTTCAGTACAATTTTGCAGGAGTTTTATTGAGTTTTCAGGGAGATAAATGACTTTGAAAATGTGAGGTGATCCCCTGGGGATCCCCAGGGGATCAGACGAAATAGTGAATATCTAATCTTGTATGGCAGTAACCTGGCATCCGTTATGCGCAAGTATCAGCGTATGAGAACCTTCAAAAATAAGACAGAGAAAGAAGAAGAAAGATACATAAACTAGCGAGATATGACGCTTCCCCTCTCAGATCCCCTCCCCTCCCCGCGGGGACGTACGTGCATACGGGCCTTAGAGCAGCAACTTACCCTTTCATTGCATAAAACACCACCGTATCCACGTGGACAGATGCATTTGGAGCAATCTCGAGGATTTGGGTAGCCACCATTCTTGCATTTGGCAGCGGAGCTAACAGACTTGCACTTCTCTGTGTTATAACATACTCCTTTTCAATGAGTGCTTGCAGCGGTTGTTGATCGGTTTGTGTAATTTTGTTCCACTGTTAATTACGGGGGGACAAAATTTGGTTCTCGTGCCCGCATTGCAAGTATAGAAGGATAAACAGTGGTGTCGAGTGAGTACGAGTCTCTTTCGGGGATATCTTGCATCGTGATGATGTTCCTTTGTAGCTAATACATAGGACTACAACTACGTAAACGGATACATGAAGTGATGCTAAGATAATGCTAACGGTAATTCTTCTCCATTATTCGTGTATCCTGCTGTATCAAAATGCGCAGATGTTCCATTCATGTTCACAAAAAGTGCTTATCAGGTTTTTTCACTATTGCTTTTGGATCTTATAGCTGCCATTGATGGAGTCCAGGAGACAAGCTACTAAAATGCTTCCGACTCACCAAGGCATCCGTAGTGTGTGTTCATAAGAAGAATGTCATAAAAAGACATAAAAGGTGAACCCATTGAGTGGAGGTAATTTTTATCGTTAGGAATCATCGATGGCATGGACGAGTCTTTAGCAAAACTGAAAATTGAACTTCTTTCGTTCAACGATATTTATGACGATGCGCCTACTCGTATGCTCCGTAGTGCATTCTGCTACCAAAGTCATAAGGGATGTTATAAGTACTAAATTCGCTTTTTTCTGTCTTAGCAAAGTTATGCAATTTGTCTTCCTTAAAGAATAACTTTTAAAATCTTTTTCTCTGATACGACTACTATGGCAAAACTTACAGGGATGTTTTTCACATCAACCTTCAGGTAATTGTCGCGGTCGTATCTCGTTTGAACATGATGCAAACCCAATGCGTGAGCAAGCTCGTGCGAAGCTTTCCAGTACTAAGAAAATATTGAGGGTAGCGCGGTACATGATCAAGATTTACTCAGAAAAAAGTTACAGACACAGAGAAAGAGAGGTGGGAAAAATCAGAAACCTCCACATTACTTAGCAGTTCGTCTTGCTGCATCGCTTACTGCTATTTTTAAATTGAAACATTTTCTTTTACCAGCTGCGTCATGCTACTGATCTTTCCAGGCTGCTCTATAACCTCAAAAAAACATACCATTGTACATCCGGGATTGTTTAGAGAAAGATTTTGCAATCGATTCAGGTGTCCGAGGTTAGAGCTGCATCCCGTGCCTTCATAGATTGCTACTCGTGCATTAGCTAAATGCAACAATTTTTACTTATGGTTAGGATCTTTCTCGCTGATGCCAACACACCGCTGCTTTTTTCAATCATGTCAATACATGTGTTGTCGTGCCAAAATTTTGCACCTTTTCGAGCAATAGCCTTTGTTGCAGCACCTGAAAGCTTCCGGGTACCCATTCACGGCAAACGCATGTTGAAGACAATGCAATACACGTACTTGTGTTAGGATAAAAGGAGAAGTATAAGCGATTATTAGGCCATTTATAGCTTTTCGGAACATATGCTTGTCTTCGTTCTCGCTCTTCACTCTGTTCTTGTATCAACTCTTCAGCTTGCTCTCTGTAAAATTTTGCTGCAGTAGCTTTGCGCTACTTGGCTAATGATCGTTACTCAGTCAAAACTATATCTCCTTGATAAAGAATCTCCGACAATCCACTTTCCTCGTTTACTTCTGTAATCGTGTCACTTTTGGCCAACTTAGCCGGTCTTATCGACTGAAAAAGAACTTTTAACAGAGTTCAGCGTCTTACAGAGCGATACCTTGAGTTTCTGATCCAATAGAGTTTGCTGTTGAGGGTTAAGCTTTGGCACCTTAAGATGACTTGCAAGCCTATTACGAATTGCCATTAAACGATCCACATCTAGGTGCTGAAATTGTTTCTTATGTTTCGACATTACGTCTTTGCATTCTCACCGCCTCCAGTTTAGAAAGTGTCTTTTTGAGCTTTCTCACTTTTTCCCAGTTAAGCAAACTGGCGTTCACGCAAGCGACTAGAAGTAGGAGGCAGAGTGTCCTCATCCTAAAAAAAATAAGTTATTAAACAAATGGAGGGAGTCACAGGAGATGTAACGTTTCTGGCTTGCATGAAACTGCTCGCACTTTTATGTGCACGATGATGATGCAGATGTAGAGCATATGACTTGTGGAGGGCAGAAGCAGCTATGGAAATACCCGAGAATTTTGATGCCTTCAAACATTCTGCGAAAGATCACGTTCAGGAGCCCCATGTATGTGAAGCTGCGAAAACACAGAACGACCACTTGACTTTGATTTCCTTTTGAAGAGGAATTGTTTTTATCAGCTACATGCCTATCTTGGGAACATTAACCAAGCTGCAAGCTTATGTCCAGGTATTCTAAGTAGAGAAAAGTGCTCATCTATAACGAAATGTTAGCGTTATGTCACTATGTAGCTGCCACATCAGGTACTACGTAGTGTAGTTTGATTTATGCTGGCTTATCGTTGACCAACAATCAACAAAACAGTCACGCTGTCAACATCTCCCTCAATCTTGCTGAGATCCACCAGGAAAATCCCAGTAGAATGACTATTTGCTTGATCTACTCCATAAACGTGCGCTTGCGATTTCCATTATTTACACGAAAGAAAGAAATTGTTTGTGAGTGCAAAACCGTCTTGCTCATGGATGCGAGGACGTGTGCTTTTAATCATGAATGAAGTGAATCAACCAGTTATCAGGCTCATCTTGAACAGCTCCGGTATCATCTCCGATCAAAATGTTAGGTATTGTCGCGGCGTCTTGAATATATTTTTGGCAACGGCTTCTATCTTTCCAGTACACATGCACGCTGTAACTGCGTGCGATCCCGTAAGTTGTGAAAGTATGCTATGAGAGTAGAAAGTATGTTCAAATAATACTCAATTTTGAAATTTCTTCTTGTTACTACATATGCAACGGAATTCGATGAAGCTTCTGCCTATATAAACGGCTTCGCAATCATTATCAAGTAATCTTTGTCCATTCTATTTAAATCTCATCATAAAATATTGTTGCTAGATTATTATGTACCGTAACATAGTTAGGGACTGAAACAGTCAGCATTGAATCTCAACAATCATGGATTCAAACAATCTGTTGAATGCAAAAAGAAATATACTTGTGCAAATATCAAAGTTGTGCGTTCTCTGATAGATTTCTGGATAAAAATTATATGTAGAAGTTTTCTTCTGTGAGATGGAGCCACCTGTGACAATAGAATAGATTTTGGTCTTTGGAAGTTTAGTCAGTCACGTAAGCTCAGCTAAATGCAGTTTGCACGCCTTTTTGAAAATAAGTTTTTGAATAATTCTATCAGTTGCACCGAATGTAAGCACAGAGGACTTCATTCGATGTCATTCCATTTCAATTTATGAGGTTGCAGTCATTTTTTATGTGAAACGTCAAAGGAAACGCGCCAATACAACCTTATGCTGCTGTTGGTGACACAGACGTGAACTGGCTGTGGATAGTGAACGATAGGTAATGTCACCTTCATTAAGCAACCAATGACACCAATCGTGTCAAGATTCCTGCCGCAACGTGAATAGTTTACATGTGTGCTGCCAGAAAAGGCAATCATGTCTACACGTAGCTGTTCTCAAAATGCAGATAAGCTCTTTGACATTTGCGTCCCTCGTCAGCATATACAGGGACCCAGCACATTGCAGATTCGATTTTAGGCTGCCGACGTTTAGTGGCCAATCCAGCATTTTCACCGATGCCTAATCTCTGAAGTAAAAGGTTACTAGATGGGTCTTTAATGACTTACCACAAAAGGCATGATTTGCTCAAAGATCTCGGTAAATGCCACGGATAAGTACCCTCGTGTTCCAAACTTATGCTTACAAGATGCAAGGTTTTCTCTTCTGGAATTGACCAGCAATATGCCAAAAGAGCCAGTGACACAAAAACCCTTCATCGCGCAGAGCATTGGCTATGAAAATCTTATGGCATAGTTGTCGTTTCGCTAGACACAGGAAGCGAGTGACTGCTCGCATAAAAGATAACGAAAAAGTTGCGCTGTACTCGTGAAATTAGCCCAGATATTTCAAACACCCTCATCACAGGCAGTCACACTATCAAACTCTGGCTGTCGCATTCCTCACCTATGTAGTACTCTTTACAGCACAAAACTGCGGCAATACCAAAGCATCCGCTTCAACCTTATCGTTGGACGAGCCCTCTACGTCCTAGTCCTCTCCGCCTTAAATCACAGTAGAGAGAGAAGGCCCAGAATATTGAGCGAAATCTCTTGAGCAAGATGTTGTCAAAGAGTGACCTTGCCTTCACTCTAACTTACGAGGAAAACACTATTAGTCGAAATGGTGTATATCGCTGAGTAGTACCAAATGCCAAAGAAATTCGGCTTTTTAGCAAAACGCATTTAGTGCGGCTTCATAAAGGTTACGCAAAAACATTGGCCTGTAAGGCTCGAACCTGGTGCCTTGTGCATCAAGCAACCACATCCAAGCTGCAACAACTGCACATTAGCACGCGTGGTGTAGTGCTTATTAAAAAGGTGTTTTTTGCACCCCGTACAGGGTGTCCCGAAAAAGTGCGCACTGTTCGGCCGTCACTTGCTAATAACTGTCTTGCTTGAACATCTTTTGCTTTTTGGTCAAGCTTGATGCACCGTTCAACTTAAATCCACAGTATGGAGCGAATTACCGTTGCTCTTCATTACTGTAGGACGGTAAGAACTCCAGCATGTGGAACTGTTGTGAAATAGGCTATGACAAAAATTTTTTCATAAAAATCTGGAAAAATCTGTACTTGGGTTTTCGCGCACGCTGATACTGATACACAACTTTTTACGAGAGTTTCCGGCTTATTTGTGCAAACAGATTTCTGACAAATGCTGGGAATTCACTTATTAGGCCTGCCTGGGATAACTTTGGAAAGAAGCACCAAAGAAAAGGGGAAATATTCATATTCGAAATTAGCGGCTTTCATTACCATAGCATAAGAATTATTGGCTTATTTGGTTTTGTTCCGAGCCACATAGCCTCAAAAGACCTAGAATCCTTGTCGAAGTTCCTACCGTAATCGTAAGAAATGAAGAGCGATCGATGATTCCACACTGCTTATCTAAGTTGGACCTCGCTCTACAGGATAGTATTAGGGTGATCACTAAAAAATGGGGCAGCTTGATTTTTGTCAAATTTTGAGATTTTTTATTTCGATCAACAATAAGCAGGCTGCAACGTAAAAGTCGCTTATATAAGCGACCTTCGCCTATTATTCTGGCAAAACGTCAACGCTTCTCTCCCACAACCCTACGCGTGGCGCCCTGAAGAACTCGAACAGGATTTTTTGAACCTCGCTCATTCTTGCACTGCCATACCGCAAAGTTATAGAGCAATTGATATATCATTCGAAAGAGCTGTTCATGCTCTTTCAAACAGCATATAAAACACACAAAATTTCTTTCTATTTCTGGGTAAAAAAGGCGAAATACCTGGAAAATCGCGATTTTTTGGCGCAAAAAAAACCAGTAAATCAAATTTAAATCTGTATTTTCCGAAGATGGACAAAATATGAGGTAAACTGCATACGGATGGATAGAGCGTAAAAAGCTCTTTCACATGGTACCTATAGAACATGCGTTCACCTGCAAAGAATTGAATAACGCGTATCTTTGTTCTCGAACCTACTAATGGCTATATCTCCTGACTTTGAAAGTTGAGGCCATCAAGCTGTCGTGGGTTTAGTGACTGTCCCACCACCCACTCCAGCAGTGGTACTTTGGGTGGTCTCACATGTTTCACTGCGCAGATACTGCCCAAAGTTTATAATTTGTCAGAGTGACTAACTTTGCATTTCAGCCACTATAAAAATTATTAGTTATGTAAATGACCTTATATAGGTATTTTCTAAAAGAGAATAATCTATTCTAACATCGATCAAAATTGGGAAGTTTAATCATTTTTCTTTTTTGAGAAATCTACATTTATTTTCTAGGTGTCCCATTTTTTGGTGATCACCCTAATAGCTCATGCACGGCGAAGGACATGAAAGCAAGGGAGTTATTAACGATCAAACAGTGTTCACGTTTTTTGGGGGCACCCTATGTATGTTAGGTTGTCCCAAAAGTTTTGTCCGTTTTTTCAAACCACTGTAAAACCACACACAATGAACAAAATGAATTTGAAAATGAATGAGTTTCAGCATGTTTCGATGCAGCTATCTCTTCTCTTTTTTATGGATACATTTTCGAACCACAGTCTTGTATGCTTTTTCTGATAATTCGAAGATCTTTATTCGTCAATTTTATCTGCTCAAAGTTAGGCTAATTTTTGAACATTTTATTCAAAAGTTTCGGAAAGGGTCAAATATGGATCATAGAGCAATTCTCGGACTACAAGGCAATATTTTTAGATACTCCTAATCTGCTGTTTTAACTTCAAAAAACCATTTCTTCGGAGGTCCCGATTTTTGGCAACGTCATGAAACACGCAACAGCAGCAAATACCTGAAAGCTTTTGAAGTTCCTGAGAATTGAAACATGATTCTTATTGAACATTATTTATGCAACATAACCAAGCTTGATTTGCTTTGAAAAGGGAGCTTTTTGGAGTTTTCGGTATTTTTGCGTGATAAACGTAATCAAAAGTCGCGGTTTTTATTGAATAAATAGTTATAAAGGACTTGGTAAACGTGGGCCAATAATCTAAAGTAATCTAAATAAAATGAACGCAACATAGTCGAAGCTCTAAATAACAGTCAACAGCGCGCTTTGAAAATTTCAGGATAGAAAATTTTCAAATTCGAAGATTTCGCGTTACTGCTAAATTACTCAAAAGCCATGGCGATAACATCGCAAAGACAGGGTAGATCAGAGAGATATACAGTGCTGGCCAAAATTATAGGTCCACTCTAAAAAATGCCATAACTCATTCTGTTGTGAATGAAATTTTCCAAAATTTGGTAGGGACGTGTGTTCACCAGCCTACTATCAGTCTTCAAAACGGTTCTCGTTTTTGTTTGATTATTCAAGAAAAAATTAGAAATTTTGAAAAAAGCAGGCTTGAAGGCTGGCCAAAATTATAGGTCCACCTGGAGTTTTTACTGACTAAAGCACTTCTTAGCTTCCGAATTTTTTTAGGTATGCACCCATCCAAAAACGTTGAACAGCTGCATTGGTCAAGCTGTGTCATACCTCCAAAAAGAACTGATTATCTGCTTTTTTGCTTTAAAGATGCAATCACATGTGTTTCGCTCTACAAACCTGCGTTGAGTAAGAAATTCTGCAGTTTCTCAGCTGATCGGAAGGAACGGGGTTTCATCTATCTTCTGGATGCTTTTTGACGTGAGCATTGAAGAGAAAATCCGACTTTTTGCTCTGAAGCAAATCTGACATCGGCTTAATCGGCGGAGTAAGCCTCAGTTTCTGCCCTGAAACCCCTTATGCATTGTCATTATAACCTCAAGATATTGTAGAAGCATTTTTTACTCAAGAATAAAGCTGTTCGCCATTCTCGTAAGTGTCCACAAAGCTGCCTTGCTTCGTTTTTGAAACATGAGTTGTGTGTGCAACGTAATAATGGTGTTACGCGATCCAAAATAGCTTTCCAAGTGCTACCTCACTTAGATTTTTGACAGTAATTATTTACTAGATAGTGGATGCAGCTTGTAGTGTATGTTAGCACATGATTCTTCTGAAAATTTTGGTCGGAGCCACAAGTAACTTTGGTGCTTGTCGTAATCAGTTTCTGCAGAGTGATTTCAGTAATTATACTCGAATGCTGGGATCTCTAGAAAGTTGTAACTATGGTATACGTACTCCCCTTCATAGAAACAATGCCTTTACTTTACTCAATGCTTCTGAGAACATTGTAAAAGAAGTTTGAAGGCAGAAATTTGAGCTCAGGATTGCAGTACTGTCAATGTCAGATTTGCTTCAGCAGCAAAAAGTCGAACTTTTTCCTCAATGCTCACATCAAAAAGCATCCAGAAGATAGACGAAACCCCGTCCCTTCCGATCCAGCTGAGAAACTGCAGAATTTCTTACTCAACGCAGGTTTGTGGAGCGAAACACATGTGAGTGCATCTTCAAGGCAAAAAAGCAGATAATCAGTTCTTTTTTGGAGGTATGACACAGCTTGACCAATGCAGCTGTTTAACGTTTTTGGATGTGTGCCTACCTAAAAAAATTCGGGAGCTAAGAATTGCTTTAATCAGTAAAAACTCTAGGTGGACCTATAATTTTGGCCAGCCTTCAAGCCTGCTTTTTTCAAAATTTCTAATTTTTTCTTGAATAATCAAACGAAAACGAGAACCGTTCTGAAGACTGATAGTAGGCTGGTAAACACACGTCTCTACCAAAATTTGGAAAATTTCATTCACAACAGATTGAGTTATGGCATTTTTTAGAGTGGACCTATAATTTTGGCCAGCACTGTAGCTGTAAGAAAGAGGGTAAAAATCTGAGCCATATGGTACCTAAGTTATCCATGCATTGGTGTTCTGTGATTTTAATGAGCGATGAAAAAGGCGGACAAAACTTTCGGGACAACCTATATTTCTTCTGAACATTAACATTTTGAATTATTACAGAGTCTCCATGATAATTTTTACTTC